AATGTCATACATAAGACCCGATATTTATAGCGATATAATAAGAAAACAATGCAATGAAGGGAACAGTACTTCTCATTCACAAAGACTTGAACTCAGAGCCCATCCTTCACTTCTATTATTCAATATAAGTTATAATTCAATACTACTATTATATGAATGACATATCATGAAAAGTTTTCAAGTTATGCCAAATACAAGTGTTTTATAAAAAATGATAATTTTTCCAAACAATAAACAATATTTAATGCATTACTAGACTCTCACTCTCTAAGCGGGGGTTCTCTCGATTCATATTTATTATCCATAAAAAAGCACTTCTAGTCCTTTGGTTGCGATAATCGAAAATTCTTTTGTAACTCAAAATATTTCTCAATTAATTTTTGTTAAACAAAACAATTTTCAAATGTTTTTCCACAGAACCGTTCAGTCAATACAAAGTGTGGGTAAAGGCTTATACGATGAAGACTGAGGGCGAGTCGAGCAAAACGCTTGAGTTCCGTACGGACGTGACGGGTCCGAGCGCTCCCCTCATTGTGAACCTGACGTGCGAGTCGGCCACCGATGCCCTACACGTCTATTGGGAGCGGCCGTCAGTTTTCTACAACTCTATCGACTATTTCTTCATTTATTATCGATCGGAACACAAGAGCGACAGCGAGTTCGAGGAGGTGGCCGTCCCGGGAGGCGGTGTTAACTCACGATACGAGCATTACGTGAGTGCCATCACTAATACACGCACTTAATTAAGAGATGTTGTAATAAAATATGTGCTTTTTTTTCATTGTAGGCGTTCATAACGAATCTGACAAAAGGCACGTTGTACGAGGTGAAAGTGCAGGGTGCCACCAGGAGCATCACGGAACAGGCCAAACTATACCGGGGCGAGTTCAGTGAGCCCCGTAAGGTCATCCTCCAGAGTAAGTGCATCAGTAAGTCCTATCACTTTCCGATTTCCACTAAACTTGTCTTTCACTAAAGCAATAAAAACAAAATCACCAGAACTTTAGATATACTCTAATATTCTCGTGTAATGTAAGCGAAAAAAACACATTAAAAAACAATACTTTGTTACGAATTCTTAACTTTTGGTGTCGTTTGTGCTTTTAGTTCAACATTTTTTTGCATGTTTTGTGTTTTGTTATCACAATTTCAAAGACATAATTAACTAATTCTGTGGTTTTGGTTTTGTCAACGAATAGGTTTTGTGTCCTCGCCTTATGTCGAGCCGACACTCCCGGCGTCGATGATAGCGGGCGTCGTTTGCGCGTCGTTTGCCTTAATTCTGGCCGTTTTGTCGTTCGTGTTGTGGCGGAAGTACTTCCAGGCGGCCTATTACTACCTCGACGACCCGCCCTCTGCCACTCGCGGCGGTTCACCACAACTGTCCGAAGTGTTTGACGACTCGGAGTACACGTCGGTTCCGGTGAACCAATGGTCGAAACACGTGCAGGACTTGCACTCCGACGGAGATCTGGGCTTTTCGCGCGAATACGAGGCCATACAACACGCCACCGATTTGGACCTCTCGTGCCAACACTCGCAGCTCCTCGAGAACAAGAATAAGAACCGATACGTGAATATTGTGGCCTACGATCACACGAGAGTTGTACTCAAACCACTCAGCACTCAGAAGAAGAATGGCATCGACTATATTAACGCCAATTATATCGATGTATGTCTTCATCCCTTCTCTCTCTCACGCTATTTGTGTCATACAATCATATATTAATTGATTTATTAATCAATTTGTTTGACGGGAAATATAGGGTTACGGCAAATCTCAGGCATATATCGGAACTCAAGGCCCGCTTCCCTCGACTTTCGATGATTACTGGCGTATGATTTGGGAGCAGAGGGTCTGCATTATAGTTATGATCACTAATCTAATGGAAAGAGGAAGAGTAAGTGTCATTACTTTGGACTACTAGTCCCTAATCCCGGCGCAAATCAGACAACTTTTGTCGCAAACGTCAAACTCTATTGAAAACAATTTCATTTCTTTTGTCGCTTAAACCGAGAGAAACTCATTCTGAAAATTACTTTTATTTTTCCAAATCTTTGCTCTAAAAGCTATAGCTTTTGCTTATCTTTTACTTAACTTATACGTGAATATTGTGGCCTACGATCACACGAGAGTTGTACTCAAACCACTCAGCACTCAGAAGAAGAATGGCATCGACTATATTAACGCCAATTATATCGATGTATGTCTTCATCCCTTCTCTCTCACGCTATTTGTGTCATACAATCAGATATTAATTGATATATTAATCAATTTGTTTGACGGGAAATATAGGGTTACGGAAAATCTCAGGCATATATCGGAACTCAAGGCCCGCTTCCCTCGACTTTCGATGATTACTGGCGTATGATTTGGGAGCAGAGAGTTTGCATTATAGTTATGATCACTAATCTAATGGAAAGAGGAAGAGTAAGTGTCATTACTTTGGACTACTAGTCCCTAATCCCGGCGCAAATCAGACAACTTTTGTCGCAAACGTCAACTCTATTGAAAACAATTTCATTTCTTTTGTCGCTTAAACCGAGAGAAACTCATTCTGAAAATTACTTTTATTTTTCCAAATCTTTGCTCTAAAAGCTATAGCTTTTGCTTATCTTTTACTTAACTTAACTCTATTGAAAACAATTTCATTTCTTTTGTCGCTTAAACCGAGAGAAACTCATTCTGAAAATTACTTTTATTTTTCCAAATCTTTGCTCTAAAAGCTATAGCTTTTGCTTATCTTTTACTTAACTATTTGCTAAAAAGCTCATCAAATAAAAGCACAAAATTACTATTAAAAAAAACTAACACTAATCTAAATCTGGAAAACTTTTTTTCAAAAGCGATAGAATTTAATCTAAGAAATAGTAAATTCTTTAATTAATTACAAATATTTTCTTCGATACTAAATCTGTTTATAATTTTAGTATTCGTTTGGCTTTTAGTTGTTTTTAACTTTTTCTTCTTTACAATCAATTGACAATTGAATGCATGTCTCTCTTCTCTCTTATCTCATCGTCTAATAGCATGCATCGCACACCTTATCTCATACTTATCATTCAGAACTGGACGACTCTGTAAGTAATCTTAATCTTTTCCAAACTCTCTCTCTCTCTCTCTCTCTCTCCGCTTTTCTAACTCTATTACATCACTTTATTCAATATAACGTTGAATTATTTTCATTAAGTGAAGAGAAACAATGGACTCAATTGTGATTTATTCTGTGTTACGAAATGAGCTTTTTCTATGAGCCACGAGTTAATAATAACATCATTTTCTCATTTATCTCAATATTTGTAGCGCAAGTGTGACATGTATTGGCCGAAGGAAGGCATGGAAACGTATGGCATTATTAACGTGAAGCTATTGCAAGAGGTAGTGATGGCCACATATACTCTCAGAACATTCAACGTTCGCAACCTTAAAGTCAAAAAGGTTTGACATTTTTGCCATACATTTTGCCCTCACTATCAGTATATGTAATGAATTTTGTCATTTAAACACCGATCAGAAGCACGGATCTGAACGCACAGTCTATCAGTACCACTACACCAATTGGCCCGATCACGGGGTGCCCGACCATCCCCTACCGGTGCTGTCGTTTGTGCGCAAGTCTTCGGCGGCCAATCCCCCGAACGGCGGCCCAATTATAGTTCACTGCTCGGCGGGCGTCGGCCGCACCGGCACTTACATCGTGTTGGACGCCATGCAGAGGCAGATAAAGCACAGGCAGTCCATCAATATCTTCGGTTTCTTGAAACACATCCGACAGCAGAGAAACTATTTGGTGCAGACGGAGGAGCAGTACATCTTCACTCACGATGCCATCCAAGAGGCCATCGAATCGGGCGATACGGAAGTGCCGTCGAGTCATCTCTTGAAATATATTCAAACACTTCAGACCGGAGGCGACGGCGGAAGTAATGTCAGCTATGATAAGAGCCATCACTGGCCACTACTCGAGCGACAGTTTCGTCTCGTCACTCAATTCAAGGTATTGTTCACTGAATGAGTGGATCTGTTGTAACGACTCAATCGGTCCTAACATTTGTTTTGTGTGTTTTTCAGGCGAAAGATTTCAATGTTGTCTCAGCGCTGAAACCGTGCAATAAAATGAAGAACCGATCGCTGAATCTGATTCCACTGGAAGCACATCGCGTTCACATAATACCCAAAACTCCGGGAACCGATGGCTCGGATTACATAAACGCAACATTCCTCCCCGGTTTCAATCGGCTCCGGGAGTTCATTATAACGCAACACCCGGTTTGGGACACAATCTCCGATTTCTGGCAAATGGTTTGGGATCACAACTCGCAGACAATTGTGGTGTTGTCGTCGGTGATCGACGAGAAGGAGTTCCCGCAGTTCTGGCCGGACAGGGATGACGAGAGCGATTACGGCTCATTCAAAGTGAAACTGACGGATGAGTCGCGGATAGTACAAGAGGGCGGAGGTTTCATCACAACCCGAGACTTCATGTTGCAGTCAACGCAAGACGATTACGAGCTTTGCTGTCGTGTAGTCCACTGTTCCGATTGGCCCGAACGACAGCCACTGACCAATGTGTTTGATTTGGTCAAAGTTGTCCAGGACTGGTACGTCGAGATGCCCAATGGACCAGTCATTGTGATGGACAAGTATGTCATCGGATTGTCATATGTATTACAGCCGCAGATAACTAATGGACGGCTTGTTTATTGCTAGGTTTGGAGGGACAGAGTCGGCCACGTTTTGCTGTCTGACCACTCTTTACAAACAACTCAATTTCGAGGATTGTGTGGACGTCTATATGTTCGCCAAACTCTATCACTTGCGACGGCCGGGCATTTGGCGATCGCAGGACGACTTCCTGTTCCTATACCGAGCGTTAGAGTCGTTGGTCTCCAACATAACCGACGAGAGTAACAGTCCGTACGGAAGTCAACTCACGGTAACGAATGGCCACTCGAACGGACACGCCATCAAAATAGGGCTCACAGGAGAGCAGCAAACACTGAAAGTCGATTCGTTAGCTTAAATGAAATGAAATTAAATGAAACAAATAGTAGAGTAACTAATTAGGAGTTCACTATAAGCGGTGATTATTGGATATTATTGTTGGCATAACTTATTGGAAAGATTTACTGAACAAAAAATAATGATAATTATATGAATAATAATTGAAAATAATTCGTGATTTGTTATAAGGAATTTACAGTTAATTTTTTTCATTACCAGAATTATTGATACAAAAAATAATTGCTCATCAATTGTCTCATTGAAACATTTTTTTGTGGAAAATAATTTTGAGGCAATAATTTAGTCAATATTAATATAATTGTAACAAAAGATTTGTATAAAACAAAATGTTTTTAATTTATTTCATACTTCGGTATACAATGAAAACCATGAAAACGATGTAATGTTTTAATGAATAGGAAAGTGATTAACGAAAAGAGATGAAAGAAAGACACAATTTTGTATTTCTTAAACACATTCTTCCAATGATGTGATCGATTGAGCGATCAATTGATCCGTTAATTGATTTTTTATGTAATGCTGTTCTTATATATTGTTCTCATATATTATATACATTATATAATAGACGTCGATATCAAACACATAGGACAAGATCTCACTGCCATTTATACCAATGTATTATTCATCTCATCTTTATATTAAACACAACTCTTATATACATTTTTAAGATAAAAAATCGTATTTAAGACTAAAATCCCTTTTTTCAATAAGTATTACAATTAATGATTGAAACAAAAGTAAAAAGTCTTTACCAGTAGTGGAGTACGTGTTCAGAGACCAGATATTCATTCAAATTCAATTACAATTCAATTTTCCAATGAATAATGTATTCAAATTATGTGTGAAAATCAAATATTGAATTAAAAATCGGTTGAAATCTTATTATTATATAGTTTTAGATTTATTATTGATTTTATTATAATTTATATATAATTTGTATATAATTTAAAGTTCAAAACTGTTTTAAACGATTGTATTAAAGATATAAATAATAAATTGCTGTCAAATATTGAACTAATTATTGTTTTTCACAAATTCTTTTATTTAAACAAATGATAGCTTTTTGTGGTGACAATCAATTCAATACATCAATCAGTGGTCAAAGAGATGTCTGATTAGATCAGAAACAGACGAAAAGAGTAATCAATTTATTGGACAAAATAGCAGTGTTTTGTTATTCAAATGTAAAGTTATAGTTAGTATTGATTTAGTAATTAATTTGAGTGTTAAGTATATAATAAAACCCGGAATTCAAGTGTCAATCGAAAGAGAGATATCGCCTTTTAGTAGAATAAATGTTTTTGTTGTAAAGTATTGTAATTTTCGTGAATTATAACAAATGTTTGCTATTATAGTGACAAAAAGATAAGTTTATCATAATTTAAATCACTGTTTAATTAGTATTTCATTTAATTTTAAGAACACTTTCTGAATAAAATGTGTAGACTTTGAATGAGAAATGAAAAACTCAAAGCCATTCCCCATCAGCTCTTATGTTAAAGATCTCATCAATGAATTAATTATTGAGAAAAATCTGATTAATATATTTGTTATGTATATTACAAAGAATTTTCTGAATTTTATTTAATGACAAAAACTTCAAAGAGTTATATAATAATAATGTATTAGAAATGCTTTACTTTTATAGTCTTTTACTAGAATTTGATTAAGTTTTAAATCCCTAACACACTGTATTACAGCATGACCTTGAACAAAAATAGACATTGAAAATCTAATTAATTAAAATATGACTGGATAGGTAGTATGACCAAGGTGTCTATGTTAGTAGCTCATAAATGTTCTGAAGTGGGTGCGAAGAGGGTATGTGTTCAGATTTACTTTAATTATTTTACAAATCAACATGTTATGTTATGTGACATGAAACTATGTTAAATAAGGAGTCGATTGATCTTTCATATATGGCTGTCCGACTTCGGGTTCGATTGCAGTGACCACTTTTATCGGAAAATTTAACTTATGCAATTCTAACATGTGATATATGAAATCAATGTAGATTTTAACGTAGAATTATAATATAGTAATATTATCTCGGTGGGTTGCATAGATTTTATGTTATTTCAATTTTTCTTGGTCTAAGTTGATGTTGGCTTAACATAAAGTTAAAGCTTAAGTCGGGGATTGGTGGTGATGATGGTCTGGAGTGCAAAAGTTGCAGAGTAATCGATTATTTGACTAATTTTATTAATAATTTAACAATATTGAGCAATTAGCATAAAATCTATGCACACCATCGAGATGATATTACAATATTTTAATTCTACCTTATAT